AATAATAATAATAATAATATAACACACCCTCCGTCCCAAGTTTAGCTTTCTAAAGAAAAGTGGGAAGTTTAATAGTAAAATATTACTTGGTTGGCATAGCGCATGCCCTTTGACATCATCAATTCATTTGAGTGCTGGGGATGATTGTTCTGAGTTCCGACACGCAATGGCTGCAGAGATGCTCGTTGGCATGCCTGCCCCGCCACATTACAGTATGTGTTGACCCAATCCTCATCAATTGGGTCAGCGACAAAGTGACCATTTTCATCATAGCCTCAGGATACAGGTGTACAAAAGTATAAGAGAAAAGAGCGGAAGATCAATATTATTATTATTGTTGTTGTTGTTGTTGTTGAAATCATTATCATAATCATCATCATCATCACACATGGAAACAGGAAGTAAGCATCAGAACAACAGAACCTGAAGTACGTCTTCCAATCCACGAAAGGGCGGTTAATTTTTGGAGATGAAATCAATGGCATAGCAGAGAGGTTCAACCGCCCTTCAAGAAACCAAAGTCTCTCTGCAAACCTCATTCAATGTTCATTTCTTCTTTGACCAAAACTCCAAATGGTAAAGGTGTGTTTGGTTTGAGGAGGAGAGGGGAATGAAGGCTGAGAAGTTAAATACTCCGTATATACAAAGTAATAATTGTAAGAAACTATGGAGGCTCAGATCCTTTAATGTTAGAGGGTGAAAGAAAAAGACCGCCATGGCTGCATTTACCAGTCACTGAGGTGCCATTAGCAGTTTAGCACTGACTATAGTGGTTGCATGAGCCCCGTCCAATTGCCGATATGTTGATGAAGAAAAGACAGATGGTATATGCATCATAAACATATTAAGGATCTTTTTATTTAAAAAATGTAGAAGAGTGTAAGAACCTATAGAAGCCCATAAGAAGACTGTAGTTCTACTTTTTCTTTTCCTTTTTTTTCCTCTTTTAGTTCAAAGTAAAACATCCAGCATTATAACCAAACTCCAAGCTCTCATGCTGCAACGACTACAACACGACACCACCAATTATCTCAATCAAAAATAACGATTAAAGCAAAATCTGCCATCCAATAGCCAAACAAACCAAAAAAAAACATCATTACCAATATTCAAACTTATTAAACTCAAGTGTAGTTTCAACAAAGGACAACCAGGTCAAAATTTGAGTATAAATTTTGGAATCTAGGTGTAGGAAACAGCAGTTGTATATACATCCTCCAACTTCATCACCAATAATTTAGCCAAATCTAAGACTCTTCGAAGCAAACAGAAACAGAATCAAACTACAAATAGAAGTTGCACAGCCAAACCTAATTAAACTTTTACAGGTAGACCTTGTTAGCAAAATATCAAGCTTTCTTTTTTCACCTGTTCAATATGTAATTATATATAGTAAACCAAATGATATTTGACAGCTAAATCCCAACACTAATAAAGATCTGTATTCATAGATTGTAAAACCATATGATTGGGTTTGAACACAAACATTTCAGCCTTGAGTTGGGTTTAGAATAATAATGTTTTTCAACAAAACTAACTTCAATTTNCTGCAATCCTGGTCTCACAAGAAAATCTCATAATCCCAGACCACCCAGCCATCAGCAGACCAATTATCCATGCACACAGACTCACATAAACAAACATCACTGTTTTACCAGTCACTGAGGTGCCATTAGCAGTTTAGCACTGACTATAGTGGTTGCATGAGCCCCGTCCAATTGCCGATATGTTGATGAAGAAAAGACAGATGGTATATGCATTATAAACATATTAAGGATCTTTTTATTTTGGGAAATCATTGACACTCTGAGATGGACAACCACCCTTAGAAATCCCCATGGATCTACAGACTTGTTCATAGGAAATCTTGAAATCCATGCCCAAGTTCAACGTCATGTTTGACCCAAACACGCTTGGAAGGAAAATTGGAAATTAAAGTCAAAATCAGAAAGGATTTCCATTTACGGTCAAAATCACCAAAAGAGAACTTGGGACAAAGGGAGAATTTGGAAACAAGTACAAAAAACAATGATTTTCCATTTACCTTTGAATTTTCAAGAGAAAACCAAACACAATAAAATAATTTTCCTTAAAATTTCTTTTTCTGGCTCTAGTGTTTTCCATGATCCAAATAGAGCCTAAACAAAACGCATTTGGTGAGGCTCAGATCTAGTTCTTTGTAGAAAAATAGCAAGCTAACACCGCCATGGCTTCAAATAACAAGGCGCAATTCCAGATTCTATTGCCAGGATACGGGTCACACGATAGTAACCAAGAAAGAGAAACGCAAAGCAAAAGAGCATCACAACCATATTAGTTTCCAAGAGATTTATTTTACCTAGTATATATTCTGTAGCAGAAAAGATCAAAGGGTTGTTTGGATTTGTGATGAAGATGGAAATCGTAGGCCAAGGAGAGAATGGGAACAATCCTTTAAAGAAAATTTCAATCTCTCTTCGGCCTCCATACCTTCTGGGCTACCAGTTGAAGATTCATATTCATCATCCGGCATAATCCCAACTAGTAGCTGTCAGTCTGATGAAATTTATAGTTTCAATTAAGGCTAATTACTAGTAAATTCATGCAAAAAAGCATGTGAAAATGTTTTACGTGGTAGGCCCTTCCCATCACAATCGTCATAAAAAAAGATGAGATTCTGAATCCATCATGGGTTTGATGCCTTGAATCAAAAGCGTTAGCAATAGATTCTACCTCCTGCACCAGCACCAACCATAGTGGTACATCAAAACCAATTGTCTAAATATTATCTTAAAGAATCAAGAATGTATCCAAAAACCAATTTTTTGGTAAATAACTTGAATGTGACTTCCAAACCTACAAACAGGAAACCACGCATAAAAGGGCCCTATGCTTTCTGAAAAGACTAAAGCATGAAAGGGAGATAACATTATGATCATCCATGAAGGAGACACTGAAATTTAAAGAAGAAATCAATAGCATAGTAGAAAATCGAGATGGCCACCAGCAATGAAATTTACAATAAGGGGCTTTTAAATAGCATTTATCTAAAATTTATAATAAAGAGCCGTTGAATTTACAATGGTACTGAACTAAAATGATGGTGCTGAAGTGATTGTAGTGTAATCTTGAACTAAGCAGTGTAAGCACTACTGAACAGTACTGATAATAAGGCTATTTAACAACCCCTAAGTGTTGAATTAAAATGTTGAACTAAATGTGTATAGTTTAGTTTTAATTGATAATAAAAAAGTACCGAACTAAAAACATTGAGTTGAAAAAAAATTCAAAGAAAAACAAGACCGGAGTGTTAGAAAATATGGGGCTCAGATCATTTTATTTGAATGGGTAAAGGAAAGAAGATACAGCCATGGATGCAAACCTCAGTTTCTTCTTGATTTGCCTTGCCAAAGTACAGATCAAACTTCCTCAACCCATGAATCTCCTAAGAATATTATAATATCTTCATAGCCTAACAAGATTGGTGGAGAAACAGTAAGCATGGTATACTTGTAGCATTCTTTTCAAACTACTAGTACGTACTGCATTTCGAAAGGGCTGTTATATTTGAAGGGCAGCCTGAAATCATGCAAATCATAGGCATGCAGGGAGGGGAAACCACCCTTAGAAAACCCGCACCCCCTCTGCAGCCTCATGAGATTAGTACTACATGTGAGTAAAACACTCCTTACGGGGCAATTTCAGAACCAATCTCAATATGCCATCCTCAGATTGAGTCTCAGATCTGTGTTTAAAAGTCATCCATGGTTAAGAAGACGACCCGTGTGGCTGCAATCCTGGTGATGGATACCCGGGAGTGGGGGTATCCGGCCCAACCTCGCTAAGGCCCACTTAGCCGAACCAAAGCAAGAATAAACGGAAGACCTAGGAAGGCCACCCCGGCAACGGTACACGCTCGGCCTCGGGAGGGTCGGTCGTCCTAGAACCACCCTCGGCTGGCTTTCCACCAAGGGACTTCTGAAGGCACCCGCTCGGCCTTGGCCGGGACAACAGCAGACCAGATCCGAACAAGGAAGCTGGCTAAACAGTCAAGATCAAGGGGCCCACGATTGGACCCCTTCCATACCTCTGGCAGAGTTGTTCTAGCCACCCTTGTAACCTACTTTGCATAGCAATCCTAGGGATAATGATATGGTTGTGAACAACCCAATCTTAGTGGGCCCAGACCGTTGGACTCTGG